TTGTAGGCACACTGGCCATGAAGGTTTTACGAAAGGACTCTCTGGCCATCAAGCTGAGTAACCGTCCATCAAAGAGGGAGCTGGAGGAGAAAAACATTCTGCCGCTGCAGTCGGACCAAGAAAGGCTTGAGTTTCGACAACAAACAGCCACCAAACTGACCAGGTGAGTCGCCGGATTAACCGCACACATGCAGAGATTTCACAGGCACTTGGTCACTATTTTATAAGATATCAAACACATCATCATGTACATGTACTGACACATATCACTGGGCCATGCAGGCCCAGTCTGGTGAACGCATGTTAGCTGTGATAGATGTGACCGGGCTGCTAAAGGAAGCAGATGATAGATGAGTCTTAATAGAGAGAGGAGGCTGAGAGGGGAGAGATTAAAGCTGAGGAGCAGCTATGAGACAAGAAGACATGAGGAAAATAGAAAGTGGAGTGGAGTGTATAATATGAGGATTGAAAAGGTGAGGGAAAATGTTTCCCAAAAGACTCATAGCATCTCTAATCATTGTAATGTAGAATTACTCAAACATATTATACATTTTATTCAGAAGTGCAGTACCAGGCACGAAAGCACCCATTTCAAACCGTTTTTTTGATTGCATACTTTGGTAAATAGAACAGAGGTGCAACTAATGATTTTCAACACATTTTCTTTATTTATTAATCTGCTTACATATTTTATTTTCTTAAAGTTTGGTTTACAAATTTACAGAAAGAAATTTACACTTTATCAGAGCCCAAGTCCTCAAATGGCTTGTTTTGTTTGACCAACAGTTGAAAAGATATTTACCATGCAATGATATCAAACGCTGGAAAGCACCAAATCCTTATTTTTGGAACCAGAGGATGTTTAGCTATCGACTAACTGTTTTAGCATTAACGGATTTTACTTTATGATGCCTAAAGTAAATTGCATTGAAATTTTTATTTTAACAAATGTAACATGATGCTTGGACACTGGCTGAAACAGACATTTTAACCTTAAGTCACCACTTGTCACATGCATAAATCACACATTAAGTGGATGGAATACACAGATGACAGTTTAGAGAAAGAAATTCTATTAAAAGTGGCCATTGTGTAAGGGCAGTAATACACTCTAAGATGTTCTGGTATAGAAAATAATGGGCTTTTTGTCATGGATTTAAATATGGTGGAATAGGTGGATTTGATCTCGAAATGAGTGTCTAACAATTTGTTAGAGAGGATTTAGTCACAGTGATGCCATTTCACTTGAAAAATACCGTGCTGTAATTTTGTTAGCTAACTATGAACCAAAACTCATAAAACATTTTCCTCCTCCTCTGGCTTCTCTTCTGACCCTCTCAACAGTCACAACCTCCTACTCTTGGCATCTTTTTACTTTTCTCCTCATTTTTTTTTTCTCAGTCCCAATCAATCACCCTACATCTGTATGAGTCACTGCACCACCTCAGAGTCGGCGCCTGCAAGATTCACAAAATATAACCTCATAAAAAAGTACACCACATGCACAGTCCGCTTGTCTTCCCTGTTCACAAGAGGAAAATTTCAGCCTGCATAAGATTTTGCATTAATCAAGTACAATTATGATGATCTGTAAACACACACAGAAATCCGGTAAAAATAGATTTCCTGAAATAGATGTGTCACTATTTGTTTCAGGCGGTTGAGTCAACGGCCGACAGCAGAGGAACTGGAACAGAGGAACATACTCAAACGTAAGTCATTTTGCATATGGGTAAGAAAAAAAGACAATATTCATCCTCACCGTGTTTGATTACGCTGTCTTTCTCCCTCCTGCCAGCTCGAAACGATCTGGAGGAGCAGGAGGAGAAGAGGGAGATCAAGAGACATTTGTCCAAAAAGGTAAGACAGAGTCTTTGATCAGTAGACACATGGTTAGTTCATGACCCCAGCTGGAAATATGAATATGGTTGCTGTGGTAATCGAATTGCCACCCTTCAGATTGCAGCCTCTCGAATGGGTGATTATAGGTTGAATGCATTATCTCTGACATTATCCTCTTAATCTGTGTTGTGCTGTTTGTGTGTGTGTGTGTAGGGCGGGGCCCAAAAACTAAGGGCTCAATATACTTGTGGGGCCCAACAACTTTGCGGGGATCAAAATGCTGGACTACAAAAGTTTAAAGGGCTGTTTGAGGGTTGAGACTTGGTTTTAGGGTTAAGCAGTTAGTGGTGCTAGTTAAAATTATGGTAAGGGAATAGGGAATGTATTACGTCGATGACGTGTCACCACAAAGACGAAGAAGTGACACAAGAATGTGTGAGTGAAATCATCTCCATCTCAGTAACAATATCACGATGGTCTCTTGTTGTTGCCCAGTAATATTTGATTATATGTTTTGATAGAAAAAAGCTAAAGCCACTGCAGAGAAATCGTCACTTCATAAATGTGTTTTTTGTTAATCCCTTTTTAATTTATTTCATCATGTTTTTTGGTCCCATTTTGTGTCTTAGCAGGATATTTAAAAAACGACTTAGGAGATAAGAATGGATGTGGTGGGAAATGGGGAAAGGCAAAGGAATAAGTGAATTTTTGATCTTTATTTTTTATTTTTTTAGGTGATTAAGGTGCAGATCCAATCATTTTTAAGAGTTTTATTAACATTAAATTGCTTTTTCATCCCTTGGTTTTTGAACTACTGTCCTTACTTGCATGAAAATTCATGAATAATAATTATATAAATTAGTATTTCAATGCAGTTCTGAGTCTGAAGGCAGATTTAGTCAACATTTTCTAGGATATTGCACAGTCTTGGCAGAGGTACTAGACAAGTAACCACTGAGTTCTTTCAGGTATTTTATTGATTATTCAATGTTACTTATACAAAACAAAACACTGCACATAAACTGGCCAAGGGAAATGAAGCAGCTACTTTCCGTGTGACTGGAAAGTAGCTGCTTCATTTCCCTTGGCCACATGACCCTCTAACATTAGCTTTCTTTTCTGCAGACACATGTTCCTCAGCATGCATGTTGCAGGGCATTGAGCTAGTTAATACAGATGGGACTGACGCTCCTCCTTTCTTGCATCCTGTAGCTCAGCCAGAGGCCCACAGTAGAGGAGCTGAGGGAGGCAAAATCCTCATCCGCTTCAGTGACTATGTGGAGGTTGCAGAGGCTCAGGACTATGACAGAAGAGCAGACAAGCCCTGGACTCGGCTAACTGCTGCTGATAAGGTCAACTTAACACACACACACAACAATCCAAAGAATGCTTCATTAACTCTGGATTCAAGTAGTCTGTACATAATATGCTGCACATAAATAAGCATGTCTTTGCGTGTTGTTCAGGCTGCCATCAGGAAGGAGCTGAATGAGTTTAAAAGCACAGAGATGGAGGTGCACGAATCAAGCCGTCATTTTACCAGGTACGACAAACTCACATCAGCTAGCCTTGTGACTAAAGACAAGGGCCATAGGCTGCTCATTACATATCAGACAACTAGTTAGGATAGATTAAAAAATAAGAGAAAATTTCGCTATGCTTAGATTATCACTAGTGAGGCAACATTTTTAAAGATTATCCTGAAGGTGGTACCAGAGTAACGGCCATGCTGTTAAAGACATCTGAGATTACATTGTTAGACCTGGCTTATCCTTTATCAGTTTTAGCTGCACTTTGTCATCCTCAGCTGTAGCTATGCTTTGTTCTTGTCATATTGTTCAGACCATAATTGGGAGCAGCCAAGTGTGAAAGCTGTTCAAATCAGCCGCCTAGTTGTAATTCCGAGTCAGGGAATTTCTGACACCTACAGTGTCTTCCACTCGGCAAAGAGCTACAGAACTGTTAACAAACTGATTTGCACTAATACAATTGATTCAGGTCGATATATAGAGCTATACACTGACATTTAGTGCCGGATGAAGTCGGGGCATTCATCCTCTGGATTATGTATGTTTGTACCAAATATTAATGGCAGTCCTTCAGATATTTAAAATGTTACTCATTTTCTCTTTGTCGTCACTTTCTCCCTGCAGGTTTCATCGGCCATAAAATTGTTCAGTCAGACCTCGGTCATGCTTTTATACTCCCACACAGAGCCTCAAGTGTTCAGACTGCTACCCTTTCCAGTGTCGACTCCAAACTGACAGACTGGACATGAACACGATCTGTGTGCTACAGCCATTACAAGAAACGGGAATAAAGACTTACAGAAGTACAGCTGGATAAAACTCTCGACTGCTGTCTCCCTCAGCGGAGATTTTACAGACTTCTTGATATTCAAAAGCTTTTTTCATTTTTTTTATGATGAAGAGGTGGCAAATTGTTTACTTTGCAGGACTTTTGTTTTTTTTAAACAAGGCTTTTGGAAGTCAAACAAAGAATCTGTGCCAATTTCGAGGATGGGAACGGGAGGAGGTGAAGATGGGACTGCATTTTTCCTTTTCTTTTTTACACAGGGATTGTTTTCTTGCCTTTCACCATGTTCTCACTCTCCTTTCTCAACTGGACTTGAATCTTTCCTTGAGGGTATGCTTGTGTTGGCACAATTTCATTCCACAGATGAGATCTCAATGATCTCATTTTGCCAGAGGAATTTAAATATTTACAACAGTTTATGCTGTTGTAGGCAGCTCAATCTATCCAAATGTTCCAAAATCCTAATCACAGTCCCAAAATGCTCTCGGCAAGCCGGAAATGGTTAAAATGATCTTCTTACACATACACACCAATCAACTGAGCAATAATTTCCGATTTTCTCCACATTTGTCTGTATATGGGCTGCATTCAAGAGCTCCAAATGCTTTTCAGACTTTAGATCCCCCTTTTTAAACCAAAGCAACTTGACTTGCTGTGGAAGTCGTGATCTTGAATGCATCCCAGTGACTGCTGTTGACAGTTCAGTAACTCACTGTGTCACTGTGCCTACAGTATTGTTTACAGGGATTTAAAAGTTGCCACATTAACTTGTTTCATTTCATACAGAATATTATTTGTAGACACAGTAAAAATGTTGCCAAACTCTGCTGAACAATAAGTACTTTTTTTTTTGCATTTTATTTTGTATTATCTGAGACGAAACTTTGGCGGTACAAAATATGAACACTTGCCACCGTACTTTGAATTGTTTACAGTCCATATTAGGTTCATAAATTGGCAGTTTTGAGCATATTATTGGGAGAATGGTTGATCTGGTGTGTGTGTGTTATAACTGTGTCTGAGCGTGTGTGTGTGTTTATGTACAAGCGTCGGTAATATTACTGTCTCTTGTGCGTTGAAAAATGTTTTGAGAAAAATATTCTCAGAATTATAAGACTTGTACAGAGCAAAGAAAGTAAGCGAGACTTTTCAGATGTTTTTTTGTAAAGCAGAAAAACTGCATGTGAGTATTAATTTATTGTGAGTCTTATATGATGTATGCAGTTTCTTAAAGAAAGAAACTTATTAAAAAGTATGTTTATGCTTCCTTGCCCTTTTCTGCATTCACATTAATCAGCTTGTTTTCTGTGTTCATACATTCAAGTCCTTACCGCATATAGTTTTATCATATTCTCTGGGGAAAGCTGGGGATTGTCTCGTCAATATGAAAAGTCTCCCGGCTTACTGAAAGTAGCCCGTGATGAGTTTTCGGTTCAGTCATGCAGAGACGAATCCCCACTGACACTGAACGCCAAAATCTGTTAGTCTCTCAGTTGAGTTAAGTCCTAGTGCATCCTGGAAAAGCATTTCACCTCTGGGCCCAGATCTGGGGAGAGTGGCGCTCCATGTGGCTATACAGCGTGCATTGGAGTGCCGCAATATTTGTGCCACAAGTCGATGGCTTTAGTCACAATGGCGTCTGTGTTTTCCTGTGGTATCTGGGAGAGAAACATTATTGTGAGGTTTTACAACGGCATGTTCTATGAGGACGATAACAATGCAGTTCTGTTTGGTGGACAATAACATAACTGTGTAGTGCTGTCATTTACTCACATTGCACAGAAACTTGACCACGCCTTCAGACCGGTTGATGCTCATCAATATGATCTTGTAGCTAAGCAGTATCTCCAGGGCCACAAACACCAGGATCTTACAGGAGCCACTGATCACTTTGTCCCACACCCTAAAAACAAATTCAAGGGCTCAGTTAATTTGACCAGTATAAAGAATTTAAAGTCAAGATATGACAACGGTCATTTAACAACTCATCGCTCACTCAATTGCGCTTTCAAGTCCATTTGCACTAAGCAACAAATGTAATATTCCGCTTTGATTGGGCAGTAGTATTCTGCTTTGTTTTTGTTTTCATTGGTAATCAAGTGTTATGGCTTTGTCTCTTCTTGCGGTTGTGGCCCATAAGCCACAGTATAATGTCACAACTTTCTCAATACTAGTACTTCCTCGTGTAACAGATTTCAGCTGAAGATAACGGACATCCTGTTGCTTCTTATCTCTTTCTAGTTTGTCTGAATCCACCACACCACCAGGATCAGGATTCCTGATAATAGCTCCACAGACATGGGGAGAAACAATTTGTTATTTTATCCTGTGTAGTGTGTCATGGTGGAGGCTAACCAATACCGTGTCTATGGAGCCTCGCAGATTTTGTTTTGTTTATGATAATGGTTATGACAATAACCTATAAGAGCGCATGTAATTATCAGGGCAAATATGTAAACATGAAGAAGAGAGAGAAGACTCATTCCTGCCCGATCACTTTTGGAAATCATGCAGGTCATAAAAGATTGCAAATTACTATTGGAGTTTCAACAGTAGTCTGAGGTGTCACATGACTGAGCAAACTCATGGCAGGAACTTCAGACATCATGATCATCTAAATCTAATCTGACATACTGGCCTTCTTCAAAGACCAATTTTGCTTAAATCAATATCACAAGATTTAAGCAAAAAGATTTTTCAAAAACACTTGAAGATTATCAATGCTGCAAAGAAAGATTCTGAAAATCTCAGTCTGCTGGAAAAAGATGTATGAATCCTTGCTGTGTAAACTGACCTCTGCAGGCTGGATTCGGGCAGGCAGCCAGCGAAGCAGCGTCTGAACCAGAGGCTGTAGGGCAGCTGAGCCAGGGCTCCGGTGTTCTTCAGATGGTTCAGCAGTCGAGGTTCCTCTTGACTCAGATAATGCTCCAGACTCTTCGGCTACACCAGAACAGCACAGGAGGAAACAAAGTCTTAATTCATAGTGACGCAGATTAAAAAAAAAAATGTGATCCAAACTCCAGGATTTTATCAAATAAATTTACACCAGGATTTCTTGTGCTTTTTGCCATGACGCAAGTTCAAAACTATTAGATACACGCAACTACTATATAGACCGTTTCATGATGTCAACACCACTCTGGCCTTGAAAATCAATATAGCCATCAAGGGAAATGGTAATATGATATGGGTTTAGTCAGCCAGCCCATTTTAATTTTTTGGTAATTTCCCTTTGAGTTTGACAAATTCTTTAAAAATTCTGAGCTTTGCTTGTTTGAAGCGCATTCTATCCACAGAAGAAGGAAATCCAAGATGTAGCTAAAAGCTCTTAAATATTTACAGTCAGTGGACCTTGTGCTGACAATGTTTAACCGAATTACGACTTTTGAAGGTCAATAAACAAACCCTCACGCTCAATTTGCTTTGAAATAACATACAACACATAAATTCTGCACTTACAAGGTGAGGTACTGAGTCTCCAAACTTCATGTGGAACTGATTGACAAAACACTTTATCAGCCAATAGCAGTCGACAGGATCATCTACGATCTCCTCCATGGCTCGGCTGATGGAAAGGAAGTCCTCGTTCTCTTCATCCTGAAACAACACATCAATACCATACATTACAGCATCAAAGAATAAAGGAGGTAAAGGGAAGTTCTAGCAACCTGAAAAGGATTGTGTGAACATTCACAGAACACCCCTGCAAAAACTGACAATACCATGAAAATACTATTTAAAACATGAGCTGTAGTGTGTCTTGTAATTTTAATAAATTATTTGATTTTATCACCATTACAGGCACCATCTACAGTTTACAGTTTTAATTACTTTCTTCAGACATAAATGACAAATCAAAAATAGATAGTTATGAATATTACTTTTTGTAATAGTAAGCGTCTAACAATTGTAAGTCACCACACTGAATGCAGACATCTTCAGAGTGATCTGAACCCATTCCCACTGCCAAATATAAGTTTGTGTAGTTTCCCTGTTTAATTATGGTCTGGTATACTTAGTGGGTCACTGATGTGCAACAGAAAACACAATTTTTTTTTGGTAAAGACTTTGAGTGATGTCCTAACATAAATCTAAACAGCATATGCTGCTTACATTATTACCAGCAATGTGGTAAATTTTCCACTCCAGGATACTATAATTATGAATTCATAAAAAAAGTTTGCCACCAACTTTAAACATTTGTGGGCTGTTTTAAATGGGATCAATGGGAGACTTTAGTCATGTGAAGGTACCAGAACCACAAACTTACAGATGTGAATGTACTTTTAAAAAACAATCATCCAGAATCCTTATCACTGTGTCGCTAACTACAAACCTCTACAGGTCTCAGTTCGCTCACATTTCTGGTCCTATAACATCCCATCTAAACAGTTTCACATCCTTTCTTCTCTAATTAGTTCTTCATAAGACAATATTACTTCGAGTGTGCTTAACCATACCGGGACTGAGGTCTCGGAGCACCGTGGGAGCACCTGGCTCTCCAGCTGGAACATGCGCAGGTAGATGTGGGTGCAGGAAGTGGAAGAATTGATGTATCTCATCACCTCCAGAGCCTCCAGGATGTCCTGGTACTGCTCCTTCCTGTAGCCTCCCACCAGAGCATGAGAGTCACTGTGGGGAGGTAGGATGCCTGCAAGAAGCACCATCAGACTTAACAGTACTGAGCAGATTATGCACATCACATTTGATTCTTGTACATGCCATTTTGGAAATGCAAGCCATTACTGTGAAATGTGTAACTTACCCAACAATACCTTCCACACATGAATCCTATACATAGAAGGGAGGGGGAACCTCTGACTGAATGTGCTCAATTTTTCTAGATCTGTTAAAAGAGTGGAAATATTGGAAACAGGACAAGAACTGACTTACATTCATGAAAACTCAAACGCAAACTGATGAGAAATACGTTTTAAGCAGTTGGTGGGAATAACAATCCATAGCAATATATCCTGGTACAATATATTGTAATGTGTCGTTGATACACTGGTGCCAATACTGCTGAATCTACTGGCTGTATTAGAAGTCTTTTTAACATGATTAATGGTACATCTCGTGTAACAACCCCAATACTATCCATAAACCAATTTCAACCAGCGTGTAAGCCATGTTTAAAGAAATGTGTTGGTAAACATGAACTGTTACCTACCCAGAGGATTATCCTTCAGCAGTATTTCCAGTGATTTCTTCTCCTCCACTCCTCTAAATCCCACTTTCTCATAATATGCAGAGCGGAAATTTCTCTGAGGGTCGTCAGCCATACTTTAACCTAGTCAGCTACACAGCATTTCCCCCAAAAATTAAGCGTGTAGGTATACATTACAATTAACTGTGGTACATAAAACAAAAAACATACATACATACTGAAACAAGACCACAGCTATTGGTCTGTATCATACTATTGTTTATCTTGAAAGCAGCACTGTGAATATTGGATTTAGTCATTATTGCAGTGCAGCAACGCATGCAGCTAACGCTAGTTTATGTTAGAAAACACCATATGTGACAGTGAGGACAAGCAAGGCTGACAATGACTAACGTTTGGCAGAACAGAGTGAAAGCTAAATGTTAAACGACGTGCTACTCCTACCTTCAAACTTACTGGTGTGTTTCACGCATAGACTTAACTGCAGCTTTAAGCTAACTTAGCTAATGTTGGCTAACTATTACATAACTTCAGCCAACGTTACTGTTAACGTTACAAACTCTTCTTAGTTAACTGTAATATTATCGGCAAGACCACCAGGTTACGTGACATTTAGGTGCACGTTCTGGTAGCAACACAGACTAACACCACATCTTAAATAAATTGACGACTCGGTCAACTCCATGTAAACCACTGTTGTTGTTATCGAAACACTTCCGGGTAGCACTGTCTAAATAAAATAAATAAAAGTGGATGGAGCATAAAATGTTATTATTTGATACCGCTACTACTAAAACGTCTCTACTACTACTAATGTCTTTCTCATGACCTACACTGTAAAAATGGTGCACACAAAGCAAGCAAACCTAAGCCTAAATACGCTTTTATTTTGAAGGCAACGTCAAAGCAAAGCGTATTATCTGGTGTCATGTCCTCTCCACCCACTACCTCCATTTTTTTCTGAGGAAGGGTCATAGGACATACTGAAACCATTAGGTTTAGATAACATATGATCAACTAAACCTTATGGGGCAGATTTAAGTATACATATTTTCTTTATTTAATCTGTTTGCATTTGCACCCCAAGGATGTAAATGGGCATAGCCAACAGATGTCCAAAATATATCATATTTGCATATAGCAGCAAGGCCTATCTGCATGTCTGTCAGTCAAAACCAGATTTGTTTTCAGGAAAGATAAAACATTTCTGAAGTTAATTTCCTGCAGGAACCTAAACCAAGTCAGTAAAACATGAAATCAATAGACATTTTGTTTAAACATATTTAGTGAGTTTGACATTTATTATATTTTATACCGTCTTTATGTTGTGGGCTCTTACAACAGCTACCTACAAATTGATGTCTATCTAATCTATGTCATAGATTCTTCATCTTACATATAGCATGTTGTTGTGATTCTGCATGAAACTGACCATGAATAACAACACTCAAGCATACATATTGACTCAAAGGTTAGCTTTTATTTTGAAATATTGAGAAACTGTTGATCTAAACTAAACAAAAAGAAAGCAATAGTTATAAACAGATTCAGTAAAAATAAATCTTTAGTTAAGCCAATATATGTAACCCAACCTTCCATCCCTCACCTCACAAAACAGACATTTTTGTTGTAAATAAAACACCAATATATTACCAATGCAAAGCTTAAAAAGAAATTCCATTCCATGAAGATTTTGAAAAACATATTTGATATATGTGTATGCAAGAATATGACAATTTCTACGCCTATTTTAGGGGCACCAACAATTATACTAATATGCACTTTATTTTCAATCAGAATACCTTAAAATGGCTGCTATTAATACATAAGTCCATTTTAACAAATGATCATTTGAAATATAGCATTTTAAAAGCACAGCAACACCAAAGCAACAATCTAAAACTATAGAAAAAGTTTGAGAACATTATTATTGAAGAACATTATCTTTGAATTTTCCTCCTCATATACAACACACAAGTTTTTTTTCTGAACAATCAAAATACTCTTAACAAATTCTGATTCATTGGCCAGAACAGAACATGAATGAGCTTAATTTTGAGCTCTTAATTTATCTGGTGGAGGAGAAAGTGGTGAAGCTAGAAACACTGTAGCGACTAGCTGATAAGGAGGCAGGGGAGCCTAAGTCCACGCTGCCCCTGCGGGAGCCTCGCTGTGAGCCACTTCTGGAGCCGGTGGTGGATCCTGGGGCAGAGGAGACATTGTAAGGACTGCTGATTCCTCTGGAAGACACAGATGACGCCTGGAGCATTTTCACCCCACTGCCTTCTTCAACCAGGCAATTATCCAGAGCCTCCTTGTAAGAGATCTTAAGTTTGCTCTTAGGGCAGGTCAAGTTCTTTGCGTGGTGGCTGATATCCTGGAGTTTTTGAGCTGTTCTCCCATCCAGCCAGCCCATTTTCAAAGCATCTTCTATGGTTCTTCGACAGCCCATTTCTGGGTCATAAAGACCCCCTGTTACAAACTGGAACTCCATGAACCTCTGCCCTGCCTCATATGGCAACCACATCTCCTTCATCGCCTCAGCAGCAGACATCTTCTTCCTGGTTTTTACATCCTCAAAGCCAAAGTAGGCCTTCTGGGCAGGCTTGAGCTTCGGGACCATGTCAGCATTTATTATGCCCAGGCGAGAGGCCTCTTGGACACTGATCCTACGGCCATTTGTGGGATTGATAATTCCTCCAGTGCAGGCCTGGGCCTCTAGTAGTCTCTGGGCAGTTATGGAATCCACCAGACCGCGATTTAGAGCCTCTGTGATGGATATTTTCTCTACAGTCTCTGTGTCAAAGATGGCACCTACAGGTTCCTGTTCATCCACTGTTTCAATGGGAGAGGCCAGAGTAATAGATACACTGGATATATTCCTAAGGGAGTCAGGTGAGTCTGGATCTACATTGCTGATTGTGGCACTTCGCTCTGTAACAGTAGTAGTTCTTGTTGTGGTCATCTTGGCAAGAGTAGGTGATAAGGGTCTTGAATGGACTGATGATGATGATGATGATGATGTCACTGACAATGGAACTGAGGCTTCTAATGTTCTTAAAGTTGATGATATCACTGAAGATGAATCCGAAGATGCTGATGTTCTTGAACCTAATGATGATGATGTCACTGACAATGGAACTGAGGCTTCTAATGTTCTTAAAGTTGATGTCATTGAAGATGTACCCGAAGATCCTGATGTTTTTGAAGTTAATAATGATGATGTCACTGCAGATGTACCTGAGGCTGCTGATTGTCTTGAAGATGATGATCCATGGCTCATCTTGTTCGTAATGATATCTGCAAATTGAGTAAGGTTGATGGTACGCGATCGGTACTGATCTAGAACTGATTGATCAATGACTCGCTTTTCAAGCAGCTCGGTAATGTCATACTGTCTTCCAGTCTTCCTGTCAACGATAACAAACCGGGTGGAACCATCTGGAGCAGTGATGGTAATCTCTTCCCACTCACACTCCTGCTTGGACAGGTCTAGGAAGGTGTCGTAGTCAATATACCCTTTGTCATATGCTTCATGTATCGTCATCTCTTTATTAGTCGCTGGGTCCACAATTATCACTCTCCTCTTTCTCAGAGTGTTCTTCAGAGTTGACTCTAGCTTCTTCTTGTCCATGATAGGCAAAAGGATGAGGCCAGTTTTCTTATCTGTGATACAGCATTTCTTAAGGTCCTGATAGGTTAGGTTTTCCTCTGTGTTAGGGTTAAAGAAACCCTTAGTATCAAGACTCTGATCACTCAGGATCTTGTTCATTTCCTTATCAAAGTAACCTCTGTTGTAGGCTACATTCACATCAATACGATGGCTGTGTTCAGGATCAATGATACCACCACTGGCAATCTGGGCCTCTAGCAGACGGATGCCATGACCTTTCTCCACTAGACCTCTCTCTATGGCCTGAAAGAGCGAGATAATCGTGTCTGTACCGGGCAGTTTGTAACCAGTCACAGCCCTTTCTGCTGATAGCAGGCTTTCCTTAAACTCTGGCCCAAACAGTCTTTTGTTGTAGGCATCACTTACAGTCAGGAAAAGGTTGTTAACAGGATCAACTATAAAGCCTGAGGCAGCCTGGGCCTCAAGCAGTTCCAGAGTGGTCCCAGGTCGCAACAGTCCATCTTTCATGGCCTGATAGATGGGCATCACCTTATCACTGGCCTCATCATAAACTCCTGCTATACATGTAGAACCTCTCAAGTAGGAGTGCAGACGGTCTTCAATGTCCCGGCTTGTCAATCTGCCCTCCCTCAGTTGGTCCATATCAGACCGTGCCAGAAGGTTTGCATCCACTAGATCCATGACCGACACCTTGCCCCTGAGCCCCTGAACAGTTACTGGCTTTTTAGGTTCAGGGAGAAGCAAAAGCCCTGTGTTTGGATCTGCTTTGCATTTTTTCTTCAGAGATGAATAGGTACTTGCTTGTTGGGTGTCAGGGTCCAGATAGCACCCAGGATACTGATTGAGGGCCTGGTACAGGTCCTCATCTATGAGATCCCTATCCATAGCAATGTCTTTGGGTAGGAATACACTCAAGGCAGGGTCCAAAATTCCTCCTACAGACTCTTGAGCCTGAAGTAAACGTAGTGCTGTGTCCTTGTCAATTAATCCCTTCTTCATGGCCTGGCCAGCTGACAGGACCCTGGCAGTATTTGGGTCTCTGTAACCTATAGCAGCAGCCTCAGCTGCAAACAACTTTGATTCATCCTTCTTTTCCACTACTCCTCTAGCACATGCTTCTTTTACTGTCAGTTTCTGATTAGTTCTGAGGTCAATGATTTGGCCTGTGGCTGCCTGAGCATCCAGTAGCAAGTCAGCACTGTCAGAAGACATGATTTTCTGTCTCTTTGCCTCTGTAAAGGACATTTTCCCTAAAGGTCCAGCTGCAACACCAGCAATTGACCCTGTCCCCTTCAGAAAAACCTTCTTATCCACAGACACTTCAGAGACCGTTTTCTCCCCCTTTAGTAGTTGGTTAAATGTTGGTTTGTCCAGGACCCCACAATCAAGCAGCTGTTGTGCAGTCACTGTCTTACAGACACCATCAAACATCAGTTTGGAAGGATCTTTCCTCTCAGTGACTGGCAGAAGTATCAGGCCTGTGTGATACTCTGATTTACATCTTTTCTTTAAAGTCCCATAGCTGGCATCACGCTCAGTGTCTGGATCAAGGTAACACTCAGGGCTCTTGTTTAGAGCATGACTGAGGTCCTCATCCAAAAGGTTGCGCTTGATAGCTGTGTCTCTAGAAAGGAACACACTGAGGTTGGGATCTAGAATGCCTCCTGCAGACTCCTGGGCCTGCAGCAGACGTAGTCCAGTTTTCCTGTCAATTAATCCCTTTTTCATTGCCTCAAACACTGAAAGAGGCTTTGTTGAGCTAGGATCCCTGTAGCCCACAGCTGCAGCCTCTGCTGCTAAGAGTCTGTCTCGATCCCTATTGTCCACCACTCCTCTGGCACATGCTTCCTCTACTGTCAGCTTCTGATTGTTTGTCAGATCAATGATGTGGCCTGTGGCTGCCTGGGCATCTAGTAGAAAATCTACACTCTCTGGGGACAAGAGCATTTGTTTCTTGGCCTCTGATAAAGACATTTTCCCTAAAGGTCCAGCTGCTAAACCAGCAATTGAACCTGTCCCTTTTAGAAACACCTTCTTATCTACTGACACCTCCAAGACAGTTTTCTCCCCCTTCATTAGCTGGTTAAATGTTGATTTGTCCAGGACTCCACAATCAAACAGCTGCTGTGCTGTTACTGGCTTACGGACACCATCAAATATCAATTTTGAAGGGTCTAACTTCTCAGAGACTGGCAGAAGTTGTAAGCCTGTGTGAGGCTCTGTCTTGCATCTTTCCTTCAAAGCCCCGTAGCTGACATCATGTTCAGTTTCTGGGTCAAGGTAACACTTCGGACTCTGGTTTAGAGCTTGACGGAGATTTTCATCCAAAAGGTTGCATTTGATAGCTTTGTCTTTAGGCAGGAAAACACTGAGATTGGGATCTAAAATGCCTCCCACAGACTCCTGGGCCTGCAGCAGACGTAAACCAGTCTTCCTGTCAATTAGTCCTTTCTTCATGGCCTCAAACACTGCTAGAGGCTTGGCTGCGCTAAGATCCTTGTATCCCACAGCAGCAGCCTCTGCTGCCAATAATCTGTCTTGATCCCTAATATCCACCACTCCTTTAGCACATGCCTCCCCTACTGCCAACTTCTGATTGGTTTTAGGGTCAATGATGTGGCCTGAGGCAGCCTGGGCTTCCAGTAGCAAATCTGCACAATCTTCGGAAAGAAGCTTCTGTTTCTTGGCTTCTGACAATGACATTTTGCCTTGACGTCCAGCTACCACCCCAGCAATTGTTCCAGTCCCTTTTAGATAGACCATCTTTTCCACAGACACCTCTGGGACAGTTTTCTCCCCTTTCACTAGCTGGTTAAATGTTGGCTTGTCCAGGACTCCACAATCAAGCAACTGCTGTGCTGTCACTGGCTTACGGACACCATCAAATATCAATTTTGAAGGGTCTAGCTTCTCAGAGACTGGCAGAAGTTGAAGGCCTGTGTGAGGCTCTGTCTTGCATCCTCTCTTTAAAGCCCCATAGCTGACATCACGTTCACTTTCTGGATCTAGGTAACACTCCGGACTCTGGTTTAGAGCTTGACGGAGGTTTTCATCCAAAAGGTTGCGTTTGATCGCGGTGTCCTTTGGCAGGAAAACACTGAGATTGGGATCTAAAATGCCTCCCACAGACTCCTGGGCCTGCAGCAGACGTAAACCAGTCTTCCTGTCAATTAGTCCTTTCTTCATGGCCTCAAACACAGAGAGAGGCTTGGCTGTGCTAAGATCCTTGTATCCCACAGCAGCAGCCTCTGCTGCCAATAATCTGTCTTGATCCCTAATGTCCACCACCCCTCTGGCACATGCCTCCTCTACTGTCAGCTTCTGATTGGTTTTAGGGTCAATGATGTGGCCTGTGGCAGCCTGGGCTTCCAGTAGAAAATCTGCACTCTCTTCGGACAGAAGCTTCTGTTTCTTCGCTTCTGACAATGACAATTTGCCTTGACGTCCAGCTACCACCCCAGCAATGGGTCCAGTGCCCTTTAAATAGACCATTTTTTCCACAGACACTGCTGGGACAGATTTCTCCCCTTTCACTAGCTGGTTAAATGTTGGCTTATCAAGGACTCCACATTCAAACAACTGCTGTGCTGAGACTGGCTTACGGACACCATCAAACATCAGTTTGGAAGGATCTTTCCTCTCAGTGATTGGCAGAAGTATCAAGCCCGTGTGAGACTCTGTTTTACATCTTTTCTTTAAAGTCCCATAGCTGGCATCACGCTCAGTGTCTGGATCAAGGTAACACTCAGGGCTCTTGTTTAGAGCATGACTGACGTCCTCATCCAAAAGGTTGCGTTTGATAGCTGCGTCTCTAGGGAGGAACACACTGAGGTTTGGATCTAGAATGCCCCCCGCAGACTCCTGGGCCTGTAGCAGACATAGTCCAGTCTTCCTGTCAATTAATCCCTTCTTCATTGCCTCAAACACTGAAAGAGGCTTCGCTGAGCTAGGATCCCTGTAGCCCACAGCAGCAGCCTCTGCTGCTAAGAGTCTGTCTCGATCCCTATTGTCCACCACTCCTCTGGCACATGCTTCTTCTACTGTGAGCTTCTGATTGTTTGTCGGGTCAATGATGTGGCCTGTGGCTGCCTGGGCATCCAGTAGAAAATCTGCACTATCTGGGGGCATGAGCATTTGTTTCTTGGCCTCTGCGAAAGACATTTTCCCTAAAGGTCCAGCTGCCACACCAGCAATTGATCCCGTCCCCTTTAGAAACACCTTCTTGTCCACTGACACCTCTGGGACCGTTTTCTCCCCCTTCAGTAGCTGGTTAAATGTTGGTTTGTCCAGGACCCCACATTCAAGCAGCTGCTGTGCTGTTACTGGCTTTCGGACACCATCAAATATCAGTTTGGAAGGGTCTCGCCTCTCAGTGATTGGCAAAAGTTGAAGGCCTGTGTGAGGCTCTGTCTTGCATCTTTTCTTCAAAGCCCCATAGCTAACGTCATGTTCAGTTTCTGGGTCAAGGTAACACTCCGGACTCTGGTTTAGAGCTTGACGGAGATTTTCATCCAAAAGGTTGCGTTTGATCGCGGTGTCCTTTGGCAGGAAAACACTGAGATTGGGATCTAAAATGCCTCCCACAGACTCCTGGGCCTGCAGCAGACGTAACCCAGTCTTTCTGTCAATTAGTCCTTTCTTCATGGCTTCAAACACTGAGAGAGGCTTGGCTGTGCTAGGATCCTTGTATCCCACAGCAGCAGCCTCTGCTGCCAATAATCTGTCTTGATCCATAATGTCCACCACCCCTCTGGCACATGCCTCCTCGACTGTCAACTTCTGATTGGTTTTAGGGTCAATTATGTGGCCTGTGGCAGCCTGGGCTTCCAGTAGCAAATCTGCACTATCTTCGGAAAGAAGCTTCTGTTTCTTGGCTTCTGACAAAGACATTTTGCCTTGACTCCCGGCTACAACCCCAGCAATAGGCCCAGTCCCTTTCAGATTAATGTTTTTGTCTACAGACACCTCAGGGACAGTTTTCTTCCCCATTTCTAGATCTTTAAATGTTGGCTTGTCCAAGACACCACAATCAAGTAGCTGCTTGGCTGTAACAGGTTTCCGAACACCATCAAAGACAAGTTTGGAGGGGTCTACCTTCTCAGGGATAGGAAGAAGTAGAAGGCCTGTGTGTGGGTCTACCTTACATCTTCTCTTCATTGACATATAGGTTACACCCTCCTCACTTTCTGGGTCCAAGTAGAGCTCAGGCCGCTTATTCAGAGCACGATATATGTCATCATCAATTAGGTTACGCTCGATGGCTGTGTCTTTCGGAAGGAACACACTGAGTACAGGATCTAGGATGCCCCCCACAGACTCCTGGGCTTGTAGCAGACGCAGTGTTGTGTTCTTGTCAATCAGTCCTTTCTTCATGGCCTGAAATACTGAAAGGGGTTTACTTGAGCCAGGACCACTATATCCTACAGCTGCAGCTTCTGCTGCTAGCAACCTCTCTCTGTCCTCTTCATCTATCACACCTTGATTACATGCCTCTTCAACTGTCAACTTCTGATTAGTTCTGGGATCAATTATGTGGCCTGTGGCAGCCTGAGCATCCAGCAGCAGGTCAATGCTATCTGGTGGCAGGAGATTTCCTTTCTTGGCTTCAGTGAAAGTCATTTTGGATAGAGGTCCAGTAGTGTACACTGAACCTTTTGGAACTTCAAGTACCACTCCAGCTATTGGGCCTGTTCCTTTCAGACTGACCTTTTTGTCGACAGACACATCAGGGACAGTCTTATGCCCCATCACAAGCTGGCTGAATGTTGGTTTGTCCAAAACACCACAGTCAAGCAACTGGTTTGCTGTGACTGGTTTGCGGACTCCATCAAAAACCAGAGTGGAGGCATCCAAGGTTGGGGGCTCTCTAACTTTCTTCAGCTCAGTTTCCATGGTTTGTCTCACAATGGTTACCTCTCGCAGTTCTGTCTGGATGGCTGACAGCCTACCTTTATATGTCTCCTCAAGCTCCCTGAGTTCCCTCATCAGCCTGTCTATCTCACTTTTCAAAGAGTTTTTTTCTCTCTCCAGACGTTCTTTGTCTGTATCATATTGCCTGATCAGGCCCTGCTTACTATCATACTGGTCCTTCCAGTAACCTAAATCCCTCTTCACCCTCTCGTTTTCCTCCTGTAGACGCTGCTTATTGCGAAGCTCAGACTCTTGGGACAGTTTAATGTGACTGAGTTCCTCCTCTAGCCTTTGTAGGCGATCTTTTCCTTTTCTGACAATTGCAATTTCAGCAATAGAGCATCTCTCTCCATCACAATCTCACTGTACTGGGACTGAATGGATTGCATCATGGCCGTTGTCTGCAAAAAGAATAGAGGGGGAAAAGCAGATAAAGAGCAGAGTTAGTCGTCTATAGAAATACATTTTATAAATTTACTGTTTAACAAGAACCATACATTTATTTTCTGCGTTTTACAACACAATATACAATCATTGACACCTGGATAGAACATTTTTGTATTGAAAATAAAATTCATAGAAATGATCATGCTACTATCAAACCGAACTGTACTTCAACAAAAATAAGTTTGTCTGGTGCTAGTAAACCTAAATGGTAAACTTTAATACCATCAAAGAGGACGGCACACATACTTGCACTATTAATTTTTTCTAGCAGCAGAATATTTAAAAAGGGTGCAACATTTTGGCTCACAGATTAATTAAGAGCAACAGAAGTGATGTCGCAAATCGACTGTGTTCTTGCAGTAGCCTCTGTCTTTTTATCCTCCATCTGTATTCATTTAAATGTAACATAAAAGACTAAACCATAAGATGGCACAGTGGTAAATGTATAGCAACTAGCAATACACCAAAAACTGTTATTGATTATAATAATAGTCAAAACACAAATAGCAAATCTGTGTGCGTTCTGCCAAATATATATATTGAAACTACATTGTTAATAGCAAATACAACTACAAAATTGACAAACTATTTTACCTTTTAGATAGTTCCTATCTGCATTCTGTAAATTTGCAAAACAGCACAAATAGGTAATTCCTATAAACTGGGGCCAATCTTGATTGACTTGTCTAAAACTGCAAGAAGAGGAGCTTCAAATACTAATAATTGTGAATATTTTGCATATAAGTGCTGTTTTTGCAAGTTTGCAAAATGTGTTTAAAGACCATTATGCTATGATGACATTGATGCTGCAAAAGAAGTAAAAGCATGCAGACAGCACATCTTTTCACAATGTGGGCAGGAGACAGCAGGTTTTGGGAGGTACAGATTATGATTGCATGCAAGTGACTGACATGCAACTTTATTTAAACACAAACTGTTGTTTGTGTTCAAATTAGTTACTAAGTGGGAGGCATCTAAATGGGATCTAGAGGTGTTCCAGCATGCAAGCTAAAGTTTGGCTACAGACAGTGATAACTACTTGATTGATCCAAATTAGGGCTCTGATTTGAAAAGATGAGAGCAGCCCAGGACAATCTTCCATGTACCTCGGAGGCCTGCTTTTGTATTTTCTCAGTCTCCAGCTTGAGTTTCTCCCTTTCCGAGGACAGCTCTGAGACCAGGTTGCGGTAATCTACATTGTTGCGCTCACTGGCCTGCAGCTGCAGCTCCAGGGCAGTAATCTGGGAGGAGAGCTCATCATTGCATCTCTGTTTGGATCTCAGGAGCTCCTCTTTATCACGTCGTGCTGTCCTTAGTTCCTCTTCCAGCCTCAGCCTCTCTTTGGTCTGGGTTTCTGTCATCTCCTTCAGCGTTTGAAGCTCAACAGAGTTCTCATTCAGTGCCTTACTCCTCTCCTCTAAAGTTCTGTAAAGACTCTCATTCCTGAGGTTTGCCTCTTTGACTCTGGCCTGCTCCTGGAGGAGCTGTTGCTGCAGGGCGTTCAGCTCAGTGCTCAGCTGTGTCATGCGGTCTGCAGAGGTCTTGTTTTGTCTCAAGCTTCTCTCCAGCTCCTCCTGTAACCTAAGACGCTCTTCTTCACCTCTCTTTTCTGACGTGCTGGCTTGTTCTTGGCTCTGGCGTAGCGTGGTAATAGTGCTGGTGTACTCTATCATGGCTATGGTGGTGTTTTCCAGCTCTGTTTCTACCTGCCTTCTTCTAGCCACTTCCTCTTGGTTAGCCTTCCTCAGATTCTCCACTTGGCTCTCTAACCCATCTCTCACAGCCTGAAGGTCCTTCATGCGTCCCTGCAACCTGTTCATGTTCTCTTCTACTCTGCTACGCTCCCTGCTCTCCCTCTCCAGCTCCAAACGCATCTTCTGAAGCTCCTCCTCACACTCCCCCAGCTGGTTCGCAGCCATTGATGAACTGGTTAGCTTCACCTGCAGCTGGGCCAAAGTCTGTTCAAGCACACCCTGCCCCTCCTCTATAGTTTTCCTCCTGCGGGTCTCCTCCTCTAGACTGTGTGTTATGTAAGCCAGCTCCTCACTCTTCTCTTGCAGGCTCTTCATGACTTCAGCCAGCTCTACTGTATACTGGCTCCTTTCCTCGTCTCTCTGCCTCATCAGCACCTCAACCTGACTTTCTAGTTCTCTCCTCCTGCGCCCTTCTTCTGTGATGACAGCACGTTGACTATGAGCTTCTTCCTCTGCCCTCTGCCTTTGTTCTTCAGCCTGGTTGATAGACATCCTGAGCCTCCTGAGCTCCTCCTCCAGATTTGTCCTCTCTGCCACCATCCTGTCATACTGTAGCTGGAGCTCAGCTGTGTTGTCCTCCCTCTGGGCTGCCAGCCTCTGGATGTCTGTGCGGCTGATGTGGATCTGGGATTCGTAGCTGAGCTTTAAGTTATTGATCTCCAAACTGCACTGGCTCCTTACCTTTGACATCTCCTTCTGTAGCTCCTTAACCCTCGCTGCTTCCTCAGCCAGCTGCCGCCGCAGCTGTTCAATCTCGTGCTCCTTACTTGCCACACTCTTCTCCACCTCCATCTTGGACCAGCTGACTGTCTCCAGCTCCTTCTGTCTCTTCCTCAGCACCGACTCATACTCCTCCTGTTGCTGAGTGTAGCGTTCCTCTGCCAGCCTCCTCTTCCTTTTTTCTTCCTCAAGCAAGTAGTTGAGACGTGTCACCTGCTCACTGAGGTCTGACAGCTGGCCCTGTGTGGTGTCTAGGCTCTCCTTGGTGGCATTGCACTGCAGCGCAGTGTTTTGCTTCACCTCCTCCATTGATAGCAGCTGGTTCTGCGACTGGGACAACTCCAGCTGGTAGCGGGAAACTGCCTCTTCCAGAGATTTGTTCTTGGAGTTGCGGTCTTGGATGTCCTCCCTCAGCAGGCGAAGTTCTTCCTCTAACAGGTCAATCCTTGTGTTACGAATCTGAAAGCAAGAAAAGCAAAGATGAATGCAGAGGTAGTTCTAAGAACTTTAATAAAAACACAACACTTTACCACAGTGTACTTGAATTGATTGATTTGAATTGGTTTAACTGATTAATGGAATCACCTGACATCCACGATTTCTTTAAACATGTATTATTGATTTGTTACCAAACATTTCCCTATTTCCACATCCACCAGACATGGAGCAATGTTACATTCAGCTGTAGTCAAGTCCAATATTCACTCTCCTTTTAGCTCTGTTTTAGTCTTCACCAACTACTGAGGAAAAATATCTGGCTCTTTAGCTCCTAGATGCTCCACTGTTTTTAATAGCTATTCGCTAGCTTTGTCTGTCATCTGTTAAGTGCTGGGCAGGTAGTGTACAGTGGGTTTATCACAGCTTTTTAGCTGAAACAGCTATCTGTTGCAGCTGGAAACGTAAAGATGCAGGCCATAAAACAAAAGCAATAAAAAACTAAAAATGCTGAAGTATGCTCTAGAGTTGAGGAGAACTGTGGAATTTGTACTACAAGCAATGTTTTCCATTGTTAAAATAAAAATGTCCATTACTGTAGCTTTAATATTAAGTTACACTAAAATGTGGTTCCTTAATGTAACGTAGCATAACTTTCACTCTAACTTAATGTAATTCAGCTTAATTAACTTGAAGTTGTCATATTCATTTTCAGGTTTATAATTCGATGTAGGGGTTATACCAGAATAGGTTTAATTCAATTCAATTCAGTTTTATTTATATAATTCATAACAAAAGTCATCTCATTGCACTTTTCATATTGAGCAGATCTAGAGTGTATTCTGTTTTAATATATAGAGACTCACCAATTTACATGGTTTAATATTCAAAAAACACCATGTTTTTGTCATACTGCACATTGCTGCAGCATTTCTTTGTGTGTTGAACGCTCCATTTTCTTGTCACTGTGTATGCTGTGTTTAAAGGGCGCGCTACATTAGCCGCTAAGCGAGCATTATGACGTAAATAGGTAACGAAAGTAAAGGGTGGACTACAATTGAGCGGTTTTCAGGCAGTTCAGGAGCGGTATTTTCCCACTACCTTTGGGGTGGACAAAGAAAGTGAAAAATCCAAAAATCATAGCATTACCTCTTTAACAATCTGGGACAATGAAAATAAAATGTAGCCAAATTGCTAGCTTTTCCACAGTTTCTAGGCAGGATGATGATAAAAGATAAAAAAAATATATATTCATTAAGAATAAAAATGGAACAGCTACTTGATTGATCCAAGTGATATAAAATGGGACTAAAATCAAAAATATAAAGCAAGCACAAATTTTCAAAGAACTAAAATACAACATCAGTACCTTAAGCTCCTCCATGTTTTTGAGCAGCTCTCCCAGGTACTTGTAGTAGTCACCAGACAGGGTAAGCAACTCCATGTAACGGGTTTGCAGTTGCGTAGCCTGAGTAAAAGACACAGCAAACTCAAAGATTCATTTAGATGTAACGTCACTTAATTTCACTGATTCAGAGAAATTTCATTGGCCAATCCCCTCTGTTAACATACTGTTCTATTGAGAGACAACATTTCCAATCTGAATTCATTACCTCCAGATTAAGATCCACTGATGGCGACTTCAGCATTGTCCTTTTGATGGGAATGTTGAGCAAAGTCTCTAAACCAGACGTATAACAGGCAAGGTCCGTTTCATAGTCCTGTAAAACAGTTTGTCAACTATGTATATATATATATATATATACTGTGCAATGTATATATACACACATTACACAGTATGTATGCATGTGTGTGTGTAGGCCTCCTTACCTTGATAGAATTTACACAGGACTCATTGTCCTTCAGCACACTCTCTAATGTCTCCCTCCTTGCTTTGATTTCTGAGTTCAGGGCCTTCAAAACACAATAATATAAATATGTCAGATGTCTGATGACTTAACACACATGGACAAGCTTGACCTTGAACACTGTAAGTAAGTTAACTGATAACAAGGAAGGGTTGAGCAGGAGACCTTTTGTTCGTTAATGTGGTCTGTCAGTGCTTGGATGTTGTCTATCTTGGTGGCCTGCAGGTTGTCTTGTTTTTTCAGTGTGGCATCGATCCAGGTAAAAAGGGAGGTGCTGGTTTGCTTGTAGTGCTGCAGCTGAGGCTGATACAACTGCAAATCCTGGAGTCTAAGCCATTAAAAGAAAAAGAAATAATTTATCATTTATTTTTCAGTAGGCAATTTGATAACTATTGATTAATGCACTAAACTGAGAGAAAGATTGAGATAAAGAATTAGTTCCCTTTCACACAAAGCTCTAATCCGACACACAATGATGTAAAGGGTCGTCCTGTGTTTAGCCATTATAAATTGTTATTTTCTTCCCACATTTTTTTTTTTAATCTATAAAATGTCAAGAAATAGTGAAAAACAATCAGCAGTCCAAATTCCAGTGGTATTCAATTTAAAAATGCATAAAATAAAAGCAACAAAGAAGAAGCTGGTGCCAGTGAATGTTTAGAATGTTTGCTTGACTGTTGACTGTAATAGTTTAAATAATATCCATGTGGACAACCACTTTGACATCAAGGTAAGGGACCTGCCTCAAATCCATACACACACACATAATGAGAGCCTCACACTAAAAAGGTTTGACATAGGACAAGTGATTAAGTGGCTGACCACAGAGCCGACGACCCTGTCCCATTTTTTGAAACATGGGTCAAACATGGGTCCTTAGTATAAAACAGTTGAAATAGTTGCAAGAGAAAGAGAGAGAGAGGGATGGTGGTGGGGTTGGAGACATACCTGGTGTCAATCTGTCCTTGCATTCGTTTCCAGCGGTCAGTTAGCAGGCCCACCTGCTCAGTGTATTTGGACAGCATCATGTCACACTTGTGGTAGGACCCACCCACCTGGCTGTTCCAGTGGCTCGCCTTGGCCAGGTCAGCCTCCATGGCGGCCAGGACATCCTTCTTCTGATCCAGCTCTGCTTTAATATTCTACACACAGAAAACCGCTGTCAAATGTAATATCTCTGACCAGTCATCAGGAGATTTTTAAAGAAAGGGGAATACACCAAAAGCAACACAGTGGGACTCTCTGGCTTTTCTCACATCAGCTTTTCTAAATAAAAATGATGGGTGACCACTGAACCGTTCACTAATATGCACCGGTATTTTGTCAAAGCTGCAGCTTGCCAGGTAGGACGCTGAGAGATGCAGAAGAATACGCTGGGAAAATTGCAGGTTACAAGTGCAATAAATTTAAAAGTAAACTGAAACTCCAATATCTTACTGAGAAATGTCATTTTTATAAGAAATGTATTGTAAATGTTTTATAAAATACCTCCAGGGTCAACATATAATCCTCCACTTCACTAGGCGACAGAGAGGTGGTCTCTTTCTCTGTCAGTCTCGCCTCATGAACTTTCACTATGTCTTCAGCTTGGGCCACACTCTGCAGCAAGTTCCTTAGAGCCTGCAGCCTGATAGAGAGGAAGAAACGATGGACATGTGGAGAAAGTGTGAGATCAATGTCACAGTAGCATCCTTTACATTTGCTGGTTTAGTAATTTGTGAGACAAGCAAGGGGACTTTCATACACAAAGGAAGATAAGAAGATCTGCTGGACAAGACAGTTTTCATCTATTTATTCTACTGTATGTTGCAGTGCAGCATCATTAATACACATATAAATTCAACTTCTGGTAAAATTCACTGAATATGGAAATAAAGCTCAAGTGCTTCCATTTTATTAATGGTCATGACACTGGCCTGTTCTATGAAAGCTTCTAATTACAACACTGCCAGTAAAGATGAGTTTTGCTTAAGATGCATAACAGAACATATGATTGTGTTAGACTGAATCCTACAAGTTGTGATCTTGTGTATATGAAATTTAACCTCCTCTTAGCATAGGCTTACCGCTGTAGGTAAGCGGATGAGCTGCTCTCCAGACTGCCCAGTCTTTGGTTGATCACTCCAATCTCACTGCGGAGGAACTGGGATTTATCTGAATCATTCATGCCCTCCAGCTCCTTCAAAATACGCTCCCTCAGACGTAAGTACTCGTCACGCATCGAGTCAACATCACGCTGCACCGTCTACAGGGAAACATACACACAAATACAGTTATTGCAGTGAATATGGGGAATAAGTCTTTTGGATCAGATTCATTTTCTGTACTACAAGCTCGTCTATTTTTCTTGAATTTATGAGTTTTTGTGTCTACCTCCAGCTGAGTGATCTTGAGGCCACAGTCCTGTACCCCGTCGTCTCCGAGGCAGATGTGAATGTGCTGACTCAGCATGTCCTCAGCGCCCTCCAGCCTCAGTCTGAGCGCGTGCAGCTCAGATAAGCTGCGGGAGGATGAAGAGGAGGCAGAAGAGGTAGAAGAGGAGGACAGATGCACCTTCCTCTTCACAGGCTCCGTCTTGGTCACTTTTATTACTTCCTTCTTAACCACATGTTCTTTTTTCGACACCTCTTTCTTCACTTCTGCTTGCCTCTGTCTTTCTTCTTCCAGCCTTCTGGCCTCCGCTTCAGCAGCAGCTTGTTGTTGCTGCTGCTGTATTATAATCAATTGCTGTTGGCGTTGCTGCTCAGCTGCTTGCTGTACTTCTATTTGCTCCTGATGCGCAACTGAGTAGACACAAGATATGTTTTCCATAATTAGTGGAGGAAGACATTTAACGGTTAAAATGGTCCTACAGGTGGTCAAGCAATATTTTCTCTCACGATACAACAAGTTAGTATTATTAGAGGACTTTGTTATTGAAAGATTAAGTTGAGAACACGGATGTACAAATGGGTTGTACTAAACTACATAAACGTGAAAAACTTCTAAAATTGTAACACAATCTCAGAAATGTGTTTTTGACACAGATTGAGAACTTTTTAAGGGCCTCTTAACAGTGGGATTTTGTTTTGCACGTTTTTGATTTTCTCTTGGAGACTACACATTTCTAAAAATATTTTGCCATTAAAAATATTGATTTAGACATTGGGCAGCATAGGTGGTGAGAGTGATAGATATACGTAATTTTAAAAGATTTATATTAAACTAGTTATATATATATAGTTATATATGGCTTAAATTTCTGTGGACAGCAAAAATGTCAGTGATGTAAGTAATAAAGCATGCAGACTAAAATATTATTCTATATATTCTATAAATATTTTCTCAGTGACTCCGTCCTCTTGTACTTTGCTGTCATAGCTTTGATTCATTATCTTTTTTGTTGTCGTCTTTAATAGCACAGTTCCACATTGTTACCTATCAACGTATTAATGCAGAGTTTTTTGAGTCCTGAGCAGTACTGTATATTTTCTGTAATACTGACTGTAAGTAGGCAGCTGCACCACGAGCTGTTCATAGCGGGCCTGGGCTCCAGTGAACTGGTTCTCGATGGTCCTCTTGTCCTCTTCAGCAAACATCTGGGAGTCTTGGGAGTTCACTTTGAACTCCTCAAAGTGAGTCTCTAGGCTCTTGATAATTTGACGGTATTCCTCAGGCCGCATCTTAGCAATCTGAAAACACACACAGACACTATGTTTGACTTAGGTCTAAAAAACTACTGTAAGTGAAAGGTAAATAAATGCACTTAATTTGAAACACTCCAATGATAACAATTCTTGTATCTGTTTGAAACTTTCCATTCTGTTAAATAGTTTTTATTTTGCCTTTAGTATAACACAACACACTTTATACAGAGTGGAGAAATAGTCCAGGACATGATCGCCTGTAAAAACATTTTTATGGATTAAACAAACAAGAAATATCATATCTTTAGGGGTGCTGGTAGGGGATTTTGTTACATTTGGACCAAGCCAGGATAGCTGTTTCCAGTCTTGGTAAGCTAAACTTGCTTTATATTTAATGGACAGATAATCAGAGAGTAGCATCAATAAGCTGTATTTCCCAAAAATAATAGCTATTCCTTTAATGGTACATGAAAGCTGTGCTGAAGGTATATGTATAGCACGGGTACTGACTGGAATCCCATCTGAAACGCACCTGAGACTATGACTCCTTTATTTACTGTTATATCCAGGTCTGAGTTTCTGTTCTGTCTTTTATGTACCATTTACATGGCTATGTAAATTATTTATAGATCTAAGACAACAGAGACTTTAGAGAGTTTATTCATCACTTACCATGGAGATGGTGAGGGAGTTGATGCGTCTGATATCAATGAGACAGTACTGCCAGGTGGTGAGACTCTTGATGTTGATGTACAGCTGATTCCAGATTGACAGGATGGCCTCATAGTATTGGTCGTTCCTTAGGATAACACAAAGACAGAATTTAAAACTTTACTCATAACAAGATTTCTGAACCACATATTGATTTCATGCGTCTTACTTCTTGGCCAGTTGGATGCTAAGGGGATTGGGAGGTGGTACGATCAGGCACACAGAGGGAACCGACATATCCAGTCCTCCCGGGCCTGTAACATCCCACTTACTGCGCTGACTGTTGTCCTTTAAGATTGCCTCATCACCCTTACAGATCACTTTCTGTGGAGACAGGGGAAAACAAACTTTATTGATAAATAAATAAACAAACAAAATCTAATGTGGTTCCACTAGGAAGATCTTAGGAAGTTTTAAAAATATAAATAATCTCAACATTTTAAACACACTGGAAGGCTCTTGAGCCTAAAGGCTTCTTACCAATTGTCTGTATATGTAAGTCAGTGGCTTAAACATGGAGTATGTGTGAGACTTTGACGTGATGACGTGATAAACTGACCTGGTCTTGTTTGAAGTCACACAGGGCTTTCACGATGGTAGGGCTGCTGCTCTTCTCTTCAGGGTATCTGGGTTTCAGTCTCACAATGCTCTTGGATCTGTTCATCAGTTGTTGAACCTGCATCTTATTTTCCATAATCTTCTCCTTCTCCCTCTGGAGATAGCAAAAAAAGGGGAAAAGATCAATAATAATAATAATAATAATGCAGAACAATAATAATAATTACAGCTTTTGCTGTAGCTGTTGTGTAGCAAGAAAAATCCAATTAAACACAATAAAAACAGCTGAAACTAATAAACTAATTATAACTACTAACCATGTACAAATTCAGCCATTCTGACATTGTAGTATCCCCCAAGATGGCAACAGGTGTGTTGATTAAACCACTGAAAGGGGGCAGCCCTTTAGTTTAGCTGTTTAAAGTTTCAGAAGGTATCTATGCTAATTTACTGCTGTAATTATATGACACTTTGATAAAGTTGATCTGTTATTGCTGTATGAAGCTGTTGTACCTCCAGTCCCCTGAGGAGCTCCAGTAGGTCTTCCAGTGACGTGTTCTTGTCACAGATGAACTTCTTACGGACCGTCTCATGCTCCTTCTGCAGGGTGCTGTACGTCTCATTCGCCTCCTTGAAGAACTATTGATAAACATGTAATGTAAAGTAAGTCTGAGATATATAAAATAGATAGGTAGACATTATGTTTTTTTTTGTTTTTTTTTACAGTTTTTAGAGTCGAGGTCCGGCTTCACTTAATATATCACAAAACATCTATCTACTTGAGAGCTTGAGAGCTTCATCGGATGGTGTGACAGCAACCACCTCCAGCTCAACAAAGGAAAAACCAAGGAGCTGGTGGTGGACTTCAGACACAGCAAGAGTCGCCACACTCCTGTTGTAATAAGGGGTTAGGGGGTAGAGATGGTGGTCATCTACAAGTTCATGGGGGTGCATCTCAACAATTAACTGGACTGGACAGACAACACTGAGGCCCTCTACAGGAAAGGACAGAGCAGGCTGTTCTTCCTGAGGAGGCTGAGGTCCTTTAATGTGTGCACCAGGCTGCTGCGGATGTTCTACCAGTCTGTAGGGGCCAGTGTCATCTTCTTTGCTGTGGTGTGCTGGGGAGGGGGCATCGGGACTTGTGGCGCCAACAAACTGGGCAAGCTGGTGAGGAAGGCCAGCTCAGTGGTGGGGATGTAACTGGACAGTATGGAGGCAGTGACTGAGAGGAGGATGAGAGGGAATCATGCACAACCCTCAACACTCATCCTCTCTATGCTAAGCTGAGGCAGCTCAGGAGCTCCTTCAGCCACAGACTCATCCAGCCTCGAGCCTCAAAGCGCTTTTAGAGGCTCATTTGTGCCATCAGCCATCAGGCTTTACAACACCACAACACAAAACTGACAGATTTGTGCCTGATTATATCTGAGACATTATATGGTTGTAAATTGTTGTTAATAATTATTATTGATTGTACAGTGTAAATAATGGGTTGATAGTTCTAGAAAACTGCATCTGATCTTTTATATCCCTTTGTGCTGCTATGTTGACTTAAATTTCCCCCACGGGGGATTGATAAAGTTATATCTTATCTTTCATGAAATATAATAATAGCCTTGAAAGGGGGAAAGCAGAGACCTTATATCACACAGCAAAGCTCTTCTTTTTAATAAGTGAGGCTACTGTTTAGACCACCATATGGTAACTTAATTGATCTGTCTGATTCAGCTCAGCACATGACAGTGACCAATTAATCACATCCATTCCCTTTGGATCAATTAACTCCAGTATGTGTAGAATTTTAAAGTGAGGAGATAGGATCAGTGGGAGGAAAGCAGATTCCATTGTTGTCGGACGAAATGTATTTTTTGATATTATTAACAGGGGGCACCTCTTGTCCGTTTTACGTTACGGAAAACCAAAACAATGATCTGAAAGATGCAAAAACGCTCCATAGAGCTGAAGGTCCCCTGATAATTCTCTTGAGGTTTTGCACAACTACTCCTTTCCATTACAAACAGTCATTTCATCGATTATAAATGTAAAAATATTAATTGGAGCAGCTTTAAGTTGTATGTTTTGTGACGTTACCTGGCTGTAAGCTGCATTCTCCTTCAGATGAACATCAATGCACTTGGTAATTTGAAGGAGCCAACTCCACTGAGTCTGCAGAGTGTCCTTGTAAGCCTGAAAAGATGCACACAGAAAAAAATTATACACAAAAGATAAGAGTCCCACACTTAGAAATGCATGTAAACACTACAAAGATGCTCATGATGAGTGGATCGATCCACACCTCAATTTTGTCTGAAGCCGGATGGTTGTTCTTCAGGAGGATATCCACTTTGCCTTTCAGTTTATTCAGGTCCTTCTCTTTGCCCTCCAAGGCACTCATCAGTTTCTGTTACATAAGAAGAGGTTTAGTAATCACAAGGGACACAAAAACATCAGGATGCAGCTGGAGGAACACTGTGGCTTTGCTGTAAGTGGATGACTGACTGCAGCTGCCAAAATCTAATCTATCACAGATGATTGCTCCCTTATGAGATGCAGATTAACTTCATAAAAAGTCATTAGTGTAATTTAGACTCACAGGATTGCCAAGAATGTTAATTGACTAGAATGAAGCTCTTAAAATTTTAAAATGAACAATGAATTTCTGTAGCGTCAATATATCAAAATGATTCCTATTATGTCCTAATTCTTCCTGAACTTTTGAACTTTCAACCTTGTACGTTTTACTGACCGAGTAACTTTCCTGCTTCTGTGGGATGTACTGGTCGATGTTCTTGTCTCCCCAGTCAAAAACCAGCTCCTCCTCCTCCCTGCTGTTCACCCACATGATCTCTTTGGACATTTGCTGAATGATCTGCTGGAGGTCTTGCAGCTGCTGGGTCCGACGAAATGACATTTGCTGGCACGGGAGAAGGAAGCGAGTTTAAATACATGGCCAGCGATTACAGTACAACACAATATTTGTCTTTCTTTTACCTGTAAACTGTCCCATTCTTGGTCCAGAGCATGAAGATTTCCTTTGTCTCCTTTCTTATTCTATGGGAAGGGAATCAAACTGATTTGATGAGAGACTCTCAATCTTAAAAATACAGAACATAAAGCACTATGAAACAAATATCCCATAAAATTCAATCAATTCATACTGAATTTATCCCTAAACACATAACAGATACCCATATCTAAACTAAAGTGTTAGCTATAGCAGTCTTAAATTTTTTTATTTAACCTTTGTTTATTCAGGGAGCTTCACTGAGAGCAACTTCTCATTTGCAGGAAGGCCCTGATCACAATCACACCTGGAAGCTGCCCAGTACAACTGCAGTCTGGTCTGCTGTCCACGGAGCAGCTCCACTGGAGCAGTTGGGGTTATGGGCCTTGATCAAGGGCACCTCAGTGGTGGTTAATAAGTCACTTTCCACACCCAGATTTATCCTGCCGGTCTTGGGCCACCACTGCCCCCAAAATCTCTCAATATCTCTTAATATATCCATACATTTGAAAAGATGAAAACCAAACTCCTAAACTAAAAACACCTTAATTTACCTTAACAAACAAAAAGTACAATTTAGGATAACTTTCCTTTAATTTACATACCATTTTCAAATACCTTAAGTAGGTTCAAGTTTTATTGAGGTGTGTAGGCCTAAGGGTTTTTTCAAAGGCAGAAACCCCTTAATTAAAAGCACCTTATTTAATTAACAGATAAGTAGATTTAGTCGTATATTACACTTAATTTAAATACACATTGATTTGCAGCTGCTAAGCTATATGTTATATGTTTTCTCTAATATAGAAAAAAAATATTTCACTACTAAACACAGGCTCTACGGTCCAAGAAAAAAAAACTTAACCTCAAAACTTTTAAATGAATTTTAGCTAAACCCAGAGTCCCAAAGTAGGTCATGCCAGACTAAATGAAAAGTATTACCTCTTCAAAGGAGGTAATGTTTTAATTATGTTAGGTGAGGTTAATTTTATTTTATGTCACTTAGGAGGATAGCTCCTGTTAAGAGATTTCATTGAGATCTGGAGGCCATGACCCAAGTGCTGAGGGTTCTGATCCAAAATCACATTTTTTCAAAGGATTTCTTTAATTTTTTTAAACTGCTGCACTTCCTGGCACATCCCAGATAATCTGGATGATTGTGCAATATTTGGGAGAGATGCTGCATGTGTGTGTACATTCTTTCTGGTTGTCTAATAGAACAGGTATTTCAATCAAATAAATTTTTTCATAGCCCACCAGGTCGTCTTTGGCTCGGTCCACCTCGGAGCTCCTCTGGATGGAGCTGTGAAACTTCTGGTGGCTGATGAGCTGCTGCTCAATGGCTGCAGGATCTTCTCCCCAGGATGCTGTTTCAATCAGACGCTGAAACACCAAACAGATGCAAAAATGTGTATTTTCAGCACACAGCACTGCACAGCAGAAATACAATCTGGACAAATTAATGCAGCTGAAAACAAAAGGGATTTCATTTTGAGACAGAAAGCAAAACAACGGACTCATGTCACTCTCAGAAACACACACCTTCATAGTTTTCAATGTTTTTACATTTGCTTGATATGCATTTAATGTCACCAGCAGGTGGTGGCAGAGAAATAAGTTGGTTCAGATATTATTGTGAATTTATGAGCCTCTTCATTGAAAACAATTTAGGAATCTACCAGAAGAAAATTATTATTATTATTATAAAACATTATTTATTTGTATTTTTATTTCTATTCGCTTACAGTACTTCCCAAAAATGTGTGTGTCTTCTTGTGTGTTCTTTTTTCTTTCGATTCCTCATAAATTACTTGTTGATAATGTCACACATAGTTGCTACGAGCGTCACCACTTCACGTCACCATCCAGTGTCTCCGACAACACTTACCAGAGGAATGCTTTTGTGCCTAAATTGAGTAAACACTGTGTGCACAATATTCTTGGTTAATGAGATCTGTCAGTCACTTCACCAACAGTGTTTACTCATTTTCTTAAAGTGATACTCCACTTAAAATCTATCTATTGACTGTGAATGTCACCTTTTAGGCTACGAAAAATGGCTTTTTAATGCAATGAGCTACCATCCATTTTAGATTTTTGAATACCAACAAACTGTTGTGAAAATTAAATATTAAAAAAAACATGTTGAGAGACATTCTGGAGTCTGGTTCAATGTCTCACCAGATGTGTGTGTATGGGCTTACCTTCTGCTGTGCAATCCACATCATAGCATCTTGGTAGCTCCTTCCAGGCTCCTCCCAACCTCCGGAGCTCCCTCTGGTGCTCCTCCTCCTGTGCATGGTGCCTGTGATGGCCATGTGGACCCCCTTAAGCTGGTCGTTACACATCTCCAAACTTCAGATTAGGAAGAGAGAAAGGACATTTGGCGAGACTTGTATGTTTATCATTTTAGTTAGATATAGGATTTTAAAAAAGGGGAAATCAGAAGAAGAAGAAAGAGAGAAGTCTTCCTCACGTCCTGACTACATTCTCATTCGGCTCTCCCAGTTGTCTCAGGTCCATGGCACAGTTCTTCAGCTGCTCAATGGTCTCTTTAGCCATCGCCATGTAGCGCTCTGCATCACCCTGGGCACCGCTCTACAATGCATAAACAAAATAATCAGCTGTACAAAATACCAAAATATACATAGTCTTCCTGTGAAAGGTTTCTGGCTACGTTGAAAAATGTGGAAATTTTAGATTTGTAAACTACACAGTGTCTGTCACTTTTACCCAATTTATTAGTCTACCAACCAAAAGAATTTAGTGAGTAGTATCTGAATGTGTTCCTACTTAGTTTTCGGTCCACTACATCTGTCAAAACTTTATGTTGAGCAAAAACATTTGTCGTTATTGATATGACACGGAGCCAAACACTCCGTCTCTGTTGCTTTTAGCAAATGCTAGGGGTGGAGGAAAAAAATCGATATAGCATAGTATTGCGATATTTTCCGTTGCAAAACAGTTTCGATTTCACACATTTCATTCAACTAGAGCCACACAGGCCTGAGGAGGGGACAGATCTGGGGATCCTAGCCAACAAGCTAATAAATCACATACCCACATCTCTCAAGCACACAATGATCGGTTTGGTTCTGGTGAACTTTGCCGAAAAACAAATTACCCACAAGAAGTTGCTCAACACGAAGCTGAAGAGGAGTGTGTGTGCTGATAACCTAAATGTTTGCAGAACTCGTAAAGATATTGGTGGATTCAGTGACAGTTCAAATGTTGCTCAAGGGGCTTTGGCTCCAAGACACAGACATAACAGAGAGATAAACAAAATGCTATCATTATCTGCCTGGTTCCTATTACTTGTTCTGACACTTACATTATCCAGTTGCTCAATTTACAACCACACAACACATTTGTCTTTCTTTCTGCACTTATTTTTGCCAACAGGAGTGAGGCAGCAACACCATGCTTTTTCTTTAAAAAAAAACTTACAGAATGAGCTTTGACCCAGACCAGACCCAGGCTTTTATTTGCACTACTGAATGAATGGAGGCAATAAGTAGCGTTACAGAATAAATCATGACTCACAGACTGAAGGGCGAATTCAGCTTTCTTCAGGTAATCCTGGCACTGGCCCTGCAGGATCATGGCCCTCTGGTGGATGGCACCGAGGTTGGATCCACTGCAGGGGGCAGCAGAGTAAACTCATCACCAGCATATTTGTTTCAAATGCATTTCCAGAAGTCACAAGTTAGACCACTGGTGAACTTTTTTTACTATGTGACCCCTTAAAATGCACTGAAAGAATTGCCCGTATTAATGAGTTGTGACCAGTTTTACCAATGATTTTCTCTTTTTAAATTGTATTTTTTGCGACCAATATTTCACAACAAAAATATGCAGCAGACCCTATGTTTTTATTTCTATTTCCTATGCTCTTGATCATCTTGTTATCCCTGAGATTTATCTTGTGGGAACCATCGATTGAGACCACACTGACAGTTTATATGTAACCAACATTTTTGAAAGGTGGAGTTTTTCTGCAAAGGGTCATGTTGTTGGCCACTAATGATAGAGTAACTCAAATAAAAATACAGATGATACAATTACACACTTCTAAAACAATAAAATACTGCATTTTTGAGGCCAATACTGGAGAGTTAATACAGCTTGATAAAAATCCATATTCTTTTCTTTTTTTGACATAAACCAACGTTTTTTCATCATAAATGGCCTCTGTTGGACCAACTATAAGACACTTTTTTAAACAAAGCCAAAGATATCGTTGGCATTTCTATAATGCAGGTTCTTACTTATCAACCAATATGTTAGCCAATAAAGACATATCTAGTAAAACTTCCCAAAAGTAACACATACCACTACAAAACAAAGGGACACTGGAGGCAAAAAAACAGCAATGTAAAAAGATTAAACATCTGCACATTATCTCCTTTGCACCATTTTATTCAATTTAAGCTTTTGGTCAAAAGAACTTTGTCAGAGCCAGAGGATATATCTGCCACAAGCTGATATATCCGACCGTTTTATTTATCTGTTGAATTGTAGTGACTAGTAAATAACTGGCTTCTTCTTTGAAAAATTCCACTGCCACATATGTACTTTTTCCACATATCATAAACTCCATTATATGAAATTACTGTATTAAGAAATAACTGGACTCAGCCAGAGGCTCTCTGCCCTTTTCTAAAAGTACCATGGTGACATATTTCATCTGTGGATGATAGAGTGGAAGGACTGAGACTGACACGTTGGAATAAGTGAGTGTTAAGCTGTTGCAGAAGAGGGAACTTAGCAGTTCAATGTGAGCAATTAATCAAACTAAGTATCTCTCCAGGCAGGGAAGCTACTGTGCAGAGAATAAGCAGATTTCTAAGTTACTAAATCTGCTAAATGCAGATGTTTTAACCATTATTGAATAAAAAAATGTAATAAAAGAGTAAGGTAATGTAGTTATTCCTTTAACAAACAAACTATGAATGCACACCAGCCCATTGCTGTTTTAGCCTTTCTTATAAATATGCAACCATACTAACACAAATTCTAAACTCAATTTAACAGATGTAAATGTAAAGGTTATTTCTACCAGCAGAGCTGTGAAATTTGCAGAAGAATAGCATTTCCTGTAATTATGATCCCTGCAAATATTATCATGCATTTGCTGTGTGAATTTGGTGTTTGAGCTAGAAAAGCCAGAGTTTTTTGTCTTAAGAACTCTTACGTCTACTCGGGGTGTGCAGGTGCGAAATGAATACCGGGATAACACTGTCATGATTAATATTTAATAGCACCCGGCTTTTTAGTGGGACATGCAACCTCCCTGCAGCGAGGGCAGGCAACAGGTGGCATCGCAGAGAGCGCAGATGAAATAGTTGTAAAATTAACCAGAAAATGAATTCATAGGCCTACCTCTTTCCGCCTGCCATGCCGCCTGACATTCCGCTCATCTTTCCGCCTGCCATGCCGCCTGACATTCCGCTCACCATGCCGCCTGACATTCCGCTCATCTTTCCGCTCACCATGCCGCCTGACATTCCGCTCACCATTCCGCCTGACATTCCGCTCACCATTCCGCCTGACATTCCGCTCATCGTTCCGCCTGCCATGCCGCTTGACATTCCGCTCACCATGCCGCCTCCTGCATGCCTATTGCTCATCGTGCCGACTCTCATGCCGCCTCCTGTATTACTTGTCATTCCGCCTCCCGAGGACTTTGAAAAGGTGTAGGTGTTGTATCCGTCCATGTAGGGGTCATAGCCGTTTCCGCCTCCGTGACAGATCTCGCTCCGTGTGTATTGGTTGGCCCCACCGGTCAAGTCACTCTTGGAGGCGCTCCTGCGGCCCATGTTCAGGGCATTCTGAGACCCGTACATACTCATTCTGACAAGGAAACGGCAGCCACACCGACTCCGTGGAAACTACTGGGGTAAACTCAGAGAGCAGAGGAGAGGCGCAGAAGGCAGGTATTCTCTCATTCTGCACCTGTCCGCCCCAGTCCCTCTGGTGCAGACTGCAACAAATGGCACGGGAGGGTCGTTTTTGGAGGCGGGTGACCACACCTCTCGGTCTTTCCCCAACCTGCTGAGCCAAAAGAGCGTTTTTTCCCGTGCCACTCCCCTCCAAACCCAGCTGCAGGCAGAGGGTGGAGTTCTGCTCTTGTAGATTTTGGCCTAGGCCTATGTGGGGATCAATTTGACTTTCAGACAAGTGAGAACGTTTTTGAAAAGAAGCTAATGATATGTTTTCTATTAAGTGAAGACATGTTTGGGAAAGTTGGTAATGTTTGAAAAAGTGAAGACTTATTCGAAGACATTTTGGAAAGTGAGGACAGTGAACAATGACCATATTTTGTCTGGTCCTGGCTCCTTCAAAGTGCTTCAAATTGGTTTCAAATTTAAGGTTAGAATTAGTTTCGGTGTGTGCCCCATGCAAGACTTTTATTTGCCAGCTAAAATAAATGTATTGATCATTTAAAAAATATATACAACTTTACAACATAAAAAGTATACAGATAATTAAAATACATAAAATGCATTCAATATTTAGATTCAAACATGTTTTAGCTTTAAAATGTTTTAAAATTATATGCACAATTTGTAAACATATTTTGATATCTCCAAATAACTTGTAACATCTGCAATCTGCAAAAGTGACAGATGTAAAGGTCAAGGAGCTTCAAGGCAAAACCGCTGCAGTGACAGGTGATCCACCTGACCAGGTGATGCATCCACCTGACCAGGTGATGCATCCACCTGACCAGGTGAAGTGGAATTTCAATTGGAAATAACCAGCCAATTTGCAACTCTGTCGTTTCCTCCTCAGGTCTTTTCAAACTCTTTCCTTACATGTTCTACTCATCCATTTTTGTCTGTCTCTTCTACTGAGAAAAAACTCATGCGTGCTACTGAATCACTTGCCTCCAGCCAATGGGTGGGACTCACAGGAAAAACAAGTAGTACATCTGAGGCATAAGGGTTAAAATGGATGAATCTTTTCAGCACACTTTGAAGACTGTTCAAAAAAGACTGATTTATGAAAACAGCTGTAATTTACTGCTTTATGCCACATTCCACTTATTTAGCTTACACTTTTACATCAAATTTTTTGTGCAGAGTTACAGTTAGCCTACAAACTAGAATTCACAGGTGTGTTCTTTGCAGCACTGAATGTGTTCAAAGTTACTTTTCTTCCTATAGATTTCCTGGAATTGTACTTTTAAGGGTGCAAGTAAATCATTAAATGTTTTTTTGTCTTTGCACAGCTGTAGCATTTACACACAGATCACATAAAGATCTTGTCTTTGTATGGGACATTGTAACACATCTTGAAATTAGCTGCTATAGTAGAAAATGTGCAAAATATGAATCAAACACAAATTAAAGATTCTCCACTCAGCAGATGCAAATTTCCATTTTAATTTCATTTTTGTAGGCTAAAGTGCTAGTAAACAGTGTACTGTAGCAGCGATCTTTATTTGGTCACACAACAGCGCCATGGCTCATCGTTCCACTGCTTTGGCCCAGAGTGAAATATCTCAACAACTAACAATTTGTTACAGACATTCATGGACCCCAGAGGATTTCTTACCAAATATCTGCAAAACTAATGACACTCATCATCTTCAGCTGTACTTTGTACCAAGGGCAAATAAGCCAATGTTAGCATGCTAACATGGCAAATTTAGATGGTGAACCTGGTACATATTATACCTGCTAAACATCAGCATGAACTGGAACGAATTCCAGTGTTGTATTTTCAGTTTTTGAGTCAAGACAGATCATGATTTATACCTTTCAAGCATGCCTTGGTGCAGAGGCACCTGTAGGTCAGTATTTCCTTCTAACTTTGACCTGATACAGCCCACCTGCACAAATACTATATAATATAATATTAATAATAATAATAATAGTAAAAAAAAAAAAACAATAATTATAACATATGTTTGCAGAGATCTTGAACACAGACTCTGCTGTTCAAGTATAGTCTGCCTACAGCACCCTGTCTGACCCTCTGTCACCCAATAAACTCAACAGCTACTGAGGAATGTAGCATGCGTGTGTCTGTTTGTAAGTGTGTGGGATTGTGAGTTATGTGTATGAGCGTGGAAGAATGAAAGTAGGAAAGAGAGAGAAGAAGAGAGGGTACAGTTTATGATTTACTGCAACAGTTGTTTTCCATTAGCTCAAGCATAATTGCAGACTTGGTGTGGATGATGGTGTGCAGAAGAATTTGTACCCATCGTATTTTGAGATATGATTATAAATCCAGCAGCTCTGCTCAGGGATTCTTTTTGTTGGTATAGACTTAGTCTTGGGGCTTTTGTGTGCTCGCTGTGAATGATTCATGAAGACATTAAACTGTTCTAACAGCAGGTTTAAAAAACTCCCACCGTACCATCTTGTTATTCCCCGTGGCAAATGACATTCAAGAACACACCTTTGCCTGAACATACTCACACAGATACGTGCCTTTTGCCAGAACAGCATTCCAGTGCTGGTCTTCCTTTCCTAATTTGCAGCTCTGGAAGCTCTGGTTAAAGGGATGAAGTGTTGAACTTTAATTTAAGTTTTAGTGGGTTAACTTCACTTAAGGGCAAACACTTGAACATGAAGATAGAAAGATATTGTCTTAACTGTAAAACTAACCATTGAATTCATCACATTTACTGTATTTGTACAAGACTCTTTTTTGTCCTTTTTTGTCCGCTGAATGAGTTGAATAATTTTAAGGTGTATACCTGAGGCGTAGTCCCAGTGTCCCCACCCTCTCCCATCTCCATTCATTCCTGATTACTAAAGACAGGATACGGCTTGCACACTTTAATGGGCTTATAAGGTTTCCTAAACATCACAGGGTAGATCTCTTGTTTGAAAAGCTCAGGGACAGGAAATTACTATATATTGTAAAGCATGAATATCAAAAATGTTGCATGAGGCATTCTTTTTTATATTTGTTGCAATAAATCAAATTCTGTGATGCAAAAATGAAAAATGTCTGTGGGAATGCAGAACTGCAACTGTAAATTTACGCACAGCCTACCTGCCTGTCTACCTTCCTACCTGCAGCCATCCAGTGCCTTGCGAAAGTATTCAGCCCCCTTGAACTTTTCGACCTTTTGCCACATTGCAGGCTTCAAACATAAAGATAAAACTGTAATTTTTTGTGAAGAACCAACAACAAGTGGGACACAATCATGAAGTGGAACGAAATTTATTGGATATTTCAAACTTTAACAAATAAAAAACAGAAAAATTGGGCGTGCAAAATTATTCAGCCCCCTTAAGTTAATACTTTGTAGCGCCACCTTTTGCTGCGATTACAGCTGTAAGTCGCTTGGGATACGTCTCTATCAGTTTTGCACATCGAGAGACTGAAATTTTTGCCCATTCCTTCTTGCAAAACAGCTCGAGCTCAGTGAGGTTGGATGGACAGCGTTTGTGAACAGCAGTTTTCAGTTCTTTCCACAGATTCTCGATTGGATTCAGGTCTGGACTTTGACTTGGCCATTCTAACACCTGGATAGGTTTATTTGTGAACCATTCCAGTGTAGACATTGTCTTGTTGGAAGACAAATCTCCGTCCCAGTCTCAGGTCTTTTGCAGACTCCATCAGGTTTTCTTCCAGAATGGTCCTGTATTTGGCTCCATCCATCTTCCCATCAATTTTAACCATCTTCCCTGTCCCTGCTGAAGAAAAGCAGGCCCAAACCATGATGCTGCCACCATGTTTGACAGTGGGGATGGTGTGTTCAGGGTGATGAGCTGTGTTGCTTTTACGCCAAACATAACGTTTTGCATTGTTGCCAAAAAGTTCGAGTTTGGTTTCATTGACCAGAGCACCTTCTTCCACATGTTTGGTGTGTCTCCCAGGTGGCTTGTGGCAAACTTTAAATGAGACTTTTTATGGATATCTTTAAGAAATGGCTTTCTTCTTGCCACTCTTCCATAAAGGCCAGATTTGTGCAGTATACGACTGATTGTTGAGTCTCCCACCTCAGCTGAAGATCTCTGCAGTTCATCCAGAGTGATCATGGGCCTCTTGGCTGCATCTCTGATCAGTCTTCTCCTTGTATGAGCTGAAAGTTTAGAGGGACGGACGGGTCTTGGTAGATTTGCAGTGGTCTGATACTCCTTCCATTTCAATATTATCGCTTGCACAGTGCTCCTTGGGATGTTTAAAGCTTGGGAAATCTTTTTGTATCCAAATCCGGCTTTAAACTTCTCCACAACAGTATCTCGGACCTGCCTGGTGTGTTCCTTGTTCTTCATGATGCTCTCTGTGCTTTAAACGGACCTCTGAGACTATCACAGAGCAGGTGCATTTATACGGAGACTTGATTTCACACAAGTGGATTCTATTTATCATCATTAGTCATTTAGGTCAACATTGGATCATTCAGAGATCCTCACTGAACTTCTGGAGAGAGTTTGCTGCACTGAAAGTAAAGGGGCTGAATAATTTTGCACGCCCAATTTTTCAGTTTTTTATTTGTTAAAAAGGTTTGAAATATCCAATAAATTTCGTTCCACTTCATAATTGTGTCCCACTTGTTGTTGATTCTTCACAAAAAATTACAGTTTTATATCTTTATGTTTGAAGCCTGAAATGTGGCAAAAGGTCGAAAAGTTCAAGGGGGCCGAATACTTTCGCAAGGCACTGTAGCAGCCCTGAACAAGGTGTATCAACGAGGACACCAGGAGCCTTGCTTTCACCTGTCTGTTGTTGTTGTTTTATGTTGTTTACGATGTACATTTGATGGGAAATTTCATGTGCGGAGGAAAATGTTGCATGTAAATTGCCGATGGACAGTGGTGTGAAAAAGATTTTCCGTCTGGGGACAATAAAGTCTAAAGTCTACCTTCCCTCACTGTCACTGTGCATGAAAATGTGGACGCCTGAAGGGAGGGAGTGGGATTTTTTCAGTTGGATACTTTCAAAATCTAGCTGTCTCTTGCAAACAAACTGCAGACAAAGTTAGCGACTAATGTTTACTGACAAAGCAAGTGGTACATGTAGCAGCTAAAGAGTCAGAAATTTTAGTTTTAGTTTAGTAGTTGTCAC